AAATGCATTACGAAGAATATCCTACGAGTTCAGTGAGTGTAAATATGGTCGTGAAAATGCAGAAACGATGAATTCATGAGTGGAAAAAAACAAGAATTCCTAACAACCTGTGATTAGTTGTGAATAAACAGTGCAAAATTTATGATTTAATGACGAAAAGCGCTTAGATTGTACTTGACCCATAGTGGTTCTTTGTATAGTAAGCACATCGTACGCAGAATTCATTAGAAATAAAGATTTATTCACAGTTTTCATGATTCGTGATGAAACAATGAGCAGTTATACAAAGCACAAGGAATACATGCGTCAATCATATATAAACCTTGATAGTGTTAGCAGCAACAGACAACAACAGATAATTAATAATAGTAACTTTATCAGAGTAATGAAGTGTTCTCAGTTACAGGCAAAAACTGCCCTAAAATATCAACAAGCAAGCACGAATCATTTTCGAACAGCGGTTATCATGCTGAAATAATTTTCTATCGAGATCTGCTTTTTATTTCATAGCTTTTTACGCTGAAGAATTGTCATTCCAACTCGAACGCCTCAGAAATTCACGTGATTTCTTTATGGAAAAAGACAATGTGAGCATGGGATTCGGCTTGTTGAAGAGATAAGATGACGGGAATGAAAATAATAGTATTAATAATAGTACAATATCATGTCAGATTTGTAAGTGATGAAACTTTTTATACAACTATATTGCACAGCGTGTCAGTATTCTGTTATTGGATCGTTTTAAAGTGAAGACCACTCCTTTCTAGGAGTCAACCGGTTTTTTGTAATCTTCTCGATGGAATCCATCTGAAAAGAAGTTAAACTAATCTGTTTCACACTGAACTCAGAGGTGATCAGCAATCAAAATTTTGAGAATTTGCACTTAAATTAACGTGATTTGTGCAATGGGGCGTTAAAATGCGACTATTTTAGCATTTTGCAATGTAACACTTTGAGTTTCGTGAAAGTTTGTTTTCGAAGTTACGCTTGTTGAAATGGTCCATAAATGCATACCTCCGTTTGTTGTGAATCCCGCGTAACGTTTGTATGCCTCAGAAATTGACGTACGTCGACCGAGCATTTCGGTAATTGAAAATCTGCGTTCTCGTTCCTGTGGGAAACTGGATGGCGGTGATACCGAAAGGCTTTCCGAATCAACCGTGTCACTGCGTACACGAGGCGCTGAACAAATAATCTGAGAGGTATGAGAGGTATCTCGGGAAGTTCCTATCCCAGAAATTGATCACTCTTAGTTTCCGATGGCATGAAATCAACTGAGAATTAGCGCGAGATAAGCGTAAGAATTTTTCAAAATCAATTATGCCAGCAGGAACTTACGAATTGTGATCGGGAATCTTTTTGGATCAACTGGGAATGACGTCATTTTTACGATTTCTGAAAATAGAAGAGGTATTAGTAGCTTTCCTAGATGATTGCATTGAACAGTACTCGTTCAGTTGAAAGCGCTAGCTTTACGGTTCTCCTAGTCAGCCTGTTATGGCTGACAGGCTGGCTATGAAAGGCTTGAATGCACAGATGACTGAGATGAATTTATAAGCAATCAATGCTAGATGATAGTATCGTATGAACGTCTGTCCAGACTAATCGAATCTATTGACTCAAATCTCGAGCAGGATATCAACGTCTGCTCCACAGAAGCACAGCTCGACTCGATAACCATTGGGACCTAGAACGCTATGAGCAGCGGAGGTGGCGGTTTGGAGAGGATCACTGAAGAAGCGTTGTTCCTTCGTTGACCGACGCAAAGATGGTCGAGATCCATAAAACTGAGTTACGGATTCGGTCGAGTGAATCCAAGTGCCGAGAATGTTCACTGATTGCAACCATGCCACTGCGACGGTATTTATGCGCTTCTGTTCCAAATTGCGTTTCAAATAGGCGTGCGTAACTGCTTCGTTTCATGGTGGTAACAAATTTTTTGGGAATTCTTGAACAACTAAATGTGTTATCAATAAAAATTGATTTTTTTTCAGTTGGATATGCTGCTGTTTATAACAGTCGTCGAAGTCCCGTGATATTGATGTTCGTCAGCCTTCGACTACTCATCGGGCAAGTCTCGTGATTGTAGTTTCGAGAGTGATATTACACACTAAGTACCAGTTGTTATCAGTGATCGATGGAAGATAAACAACCGAAGTGATACCAATGAGAACACCGAAAAACAATCACATGCTGTTTACGATGGCAAAAATTGAAAAGCTATCGTTCTCAAAACTCAAATTCAATACTGAAAAATGTTCTCAACTAATCGCTGTCGTCAAATTCTGTTGATAAGCGCAACACCCATTCGCAGTCGTAAATAATCGTAGGTATGTCGCATAATCGTAAATATTAAATATCGTTGCATTTTTGCTAAAAATGATGTCTGCTGAAAATGACGAAATGGAAATTTTTGATTAAAAAAATTAATCGGCGTCAATGGCTACGACTTATTGTTTACGACTCTTGTTTTTTGGCTCGAAAAATGGTTAATTTCATCGGTTTTTTGCGTCCTTTTAACGGCAATCATAAAATTTTCAGACAGACACAACTGAGAATGATATTTTTTTGAATAGAACATCCAGTCGAACGATCGATGATAAGATTAATTTCGAAATACTGCAAAGGAGAAAAATTAACGAGATGACAAATGATGGTACATACGTACGTGTTCGTGATCGTCATGAGGTATGGGCAGTAACTGTCACTTAATCATGCTATATATGTCAGAGAGAAGCAAAAAAAGAGAGTAAATTCATAGCAATTCGACAATTTCGTCCGTAATTTGATGCATCACACAAAAAGTGGAATCAATTTTGGTGATAGTAATATCGGATATTGGAGGATTCCATCACTGAGGTGTAATGATGAACAGTGACCACCCGAATTTCCAATTTTGACACGTTGCTTAGAATCACTCAAAAGATTGTTTTGTCCGGACGATGTGCACTCATGATTCGTTCGGTTCAATGCCAACTTACATCTCACGACTCCGATCGTGAGACAGTTGGTCGATAAACTTTCCCATTGTCGATCACTCAGAATATTTTTTGATGAATGATAATCAGTTTTTTGAAGGACCATTTGCTCGAAAATTCCATGTTCACACAAACTGTTTCAGTTCGGCTCACTTATTTAATCGAGTAATTCGTGCAAAATCAATTATTCATCTGTTCGATTACACTTATTCAGCCGTTTGTTTTTCTAAAACTTATTCGTTTATACAAATTGGCTTTATGTGATGAATGCAATCCATAATACGATTAATAGCGTTCATGAAGAGTTAAATATCATGTCGCTCACTCAAACAATGTCACTGACCACATTTATTTCGATTGTTCCTCAGCGACCGATTCAGTATCAGATGCTTGTGAAACAGTCATCCAATTCCGATCAAAATGACATCAGCAGTGATTTATGAATCAGCCGGTAGGCATCATTGGCATTGACGCTTGGTAAACAAATCAGAAAGGATGACAAATTTCCGATGACTCGTCAACTGCAGACGATAACCGATATGGTGTAGTTTCAAATATAACCTCTGCTTTTCAACTGCTTAAGATAACACATTCTCTTGACCATGATATCAATAAGATCTCTATGGATTGTTTCAATATGCTTCACTATCAACAGTTTCATTTCCATATTTCCACGAGGATGCTCATCACAGAATGCTCGTTTCACGGAATGCGGTGGAATATGCTGTATTGGCATACGGGAGAATCGAAGTCAGTGTACGAACATAATGTTATAAGGTTTTTTATGAAACTTTTATTCATAAATCTGCTAACAATTATAAAGCAGTCACAAAATGGGAACATTTTTGCGCAACAGAAACAACATCGCACATAGAACTGTCAGTCTGAATCAATAAATGAATGATTTGTATTCATAACCTTATCACCAAATACATGATTATGCACGAATATAATACATATACGATGTGCTTGACATAAATTTTAAGCATTACACACAGTTACGGTCGTAAATCGAAGCAGCACTGCAAAGTACAATTATCTCTCTATAAATGATATAATGACGTGATAATATGAACAATCTTATATACAGTACGTACGGATGCTAGTTCTGTTAACCTATAACAAACGACAAGCGAAAACGATCTAACAATATGTTGAATTTCGAAAACACCTCGATGTCTTCTAAACATAACCGATGCTAGAAATTTTTTGAAATATCACCAAGCAGTCGTCACCCTCGCCAATGACAGAAGGATTTTAAGGATAGGACTGGTATGCCAAGCAAAAAATCGACATGTTTCATTGAAAACGTGAAACTTGCAATGAGCACTCAGCTGGTGTTATCGCGAAATCATGCATTTCCGTAAAAATTCGGGAAATATCAAATTTTGTCACTGAAAAATTAGTCGATTGCATATTTTACTTTTCTAAAATACACAGTGAACTGGTTTCAATCAGAAATGGTCTTGAGGGCTGAGAAGGCCTGATGCATTGAGTGATGGACTTGTATCTGAATGAGCTGGATTACAGCGTTATCAGTTTCCATCACTGTCTATCACACAACAATCTTGCAACGCGATAACAAAACGATTACGACGAATCTGAAATTGCATTTATCTTCACTACAGAAATTATGGTTCAAGAATCCTCAAAAGCAAGAAAAGCGATCAGTTTAGCCACAGTGTTTGTATGTATCATTTGCTTTGATTGCCCATTAGTGATGTTAAAAGTATGCATTTCATTGTTTATTGTGTTGAGAAATTCGTAAATTGTTGTCTTAAAATGCAAACAGATGGAATTACTTAGGAAAGCTTCACTGGAATCGATGGCTGTGATATGTCAACGTTGGACTTACAAGGATTCACGGAAAACAATTGCAAATGCAAATGAAATCTTCAGTTCGAAAGTGGTCTTTTCTTGATTTAGTAGTCTCTTTTGGAGTGTTTGCCATTTCCCACCTATTCATAGATCGTTTTGCAGGAGTTGTGAGCCAGGACTTTTTTTTCTGGGAATTCCAAGAAGACTTCCAGTGTTGACGAAATTAGACACAAAACTCAGAGGTTACCTTGGAACAAGCGACACACAAGAACATGAATGAATGTTACTTCCACGTTCATGCTTCAGGTGATCTGGAGTAGACGCCGGGATGACAATGTTCTGCAAGTGGTCCTTTCAAATGTTATTCTGCATTTTAAAAAACTGTCTATTGCTGTGTCTTAATTTTGGTTCATTTCAAAATTAACTCCGCTAATTTGATGCAATAAAATTCCGTTAATTAGCTTCGTTAATGTGATGAAATTTCTCATGCAGACTGCAATTCAAAAAAACCTCCTTTAAAGATAGAGATAATGAAGAAAAAATGATAAACGTTAGAATTTCAATCAGCTATTCGCCGATTATCTAGACCTAAAGAATAACACTCTTAACGGAACAAGGCTTCATGCGTCCGGATTACACCAGTAAGATGACTGAAGTGAAGCAACGCTTTGGTCACAGTTGGATCGTCAACGCCTTGATAGCTAAGCTAGCTAACTATAACTGTGACTGTTCAGAATGCTGGAAATGGAAAGGACAATAAAATGCGGTATGCTCGCCTGTCTCTTCAGCGTGACGCTTGAGAGCTTCTGAAATTGAGGTGCGTCGTGTAAGCACATCTATAATCGACGATCTACGTCTTGGTTGAACAGGAATATCTGACGAGGTGCTTACGGGGCTCACCGCCACTTGCTCGGAATCGTTGGAATGCACCCTTTCACGAGGTGCTGAAATAGCAATGCGTGATGATTACAAAACGATGGCTTCGAATCGAATTTGTCATGGGAAGATTTTCCGAATGAAACTCAAATTGCTGAAATGTATCTCTTTCGCAATTTCACAATGCACCGAATAGTTTTTGTGATGCACTGGACCAGTGGTTCTCATAGGGGGTGAACTCACCCATTTTGGGTAATTTGGAGGTGTCCAGGGGTAACAGAGAGGGTCGGGAAATTAATAATTCGTGCAGTTGGTATTTTACGATAGAACACCATTGTGATGGTGTTTT